TTGCCGACTTTATCCGGATCAAACGCCTTGTATCCGTACCACAGTATCCAATCCGAATTGAACAACACAGCCACAAAGATGGAAGACGTCGGCGTCGAGACTACGGGCCTGCGCCGCCGGGTGGGCCTTGGTGAGACTTCGGAGCCGCGCCCTTCGCCCGCGCCGGCTGACGCGCCGTCGCCTCCTGCGTCTCCGGCGTCTGTAGCCTCGGAACTGCCGTCGTTCTGGAAGTCGCCACTGCAATATCTTTTCGGGACCAACCCGCCACCCGAGGTACGCGCCCGCCGCCGATCGCTGGCTTCTTATGCCATGTAGCTTCTCGCCCAGGTCCTTCTGGACGACATGAAGAAGGAGTATGGCGCCCTCTGCCCGGCGTTCGAGCCCATCTCGTTCCGCGACGCGGCCAACCTGGCCAAGACCACGGGCAAGTTTCTCTTTGTCTATCTGCACTCGGAGGTCCACGACGACACGCCACGCTTCTGCAAGTACATGTCATAAGTCTTGTGCGATATGCTGAGTAGCAAGCGTAGATCGGCGCTCTGCACAGACGAGATGGTCGCGTTCTGCCTCGAGCACGACAACATGGTCCTCTGGGCCGGCTCGGTGCTGCAGTCGGAAGGCTACAGCGTCTCGCTCACGCTGGGCGCGGCCTCGTTTCCGTTCATGTCTCTTCTGATCTCGACGCCGCGTGGTCTCAACGTCGTTGAAAAGATCCAAGGTCCGGTTCTGCCACGTCCTCGCCTTGGATTCATCCTCGCATGTAGGCGTCGTGACCAAGGAGCAGCTTACCGCGCGTCTCGCCAATGCCATCTTGCGCAACCAGCACCACATCACGGCCTCGCGCGCCCAAGAACAGTTCCGGTACACTGGTCTCCTTGCATCACCCTCGTCTAACCGTCATGGTCCAGGACTGAGGCGCAGATCCTGCGGGAAGAGCAAGACCGCGAATACCAAGTGTCGCTCGAAGCCGACCGGCTCAAGGTTGCTCTACGCAATAAGAACACTGTGGACTTTTCTCTTCTTCTTTTTCTTTCGTAGGCGGAGGAAGACGAACGTCGACGAGCAGACGAGGCGCGGCAGGTCGCCGAAGAAGCCGCGCGCCTCGAAGCTGAGCGCGCAGCCGAAGAAGCGCAGCGTCTTCAGAAGGAGCGCGAGCACCAAGTATCTTTACATCCACTTGGAGGCGTTCTCTCAGCAGCGTCTAGGCGCGCGCCGCCACGATAGAGGCGAAACGAGCCGCCCTCGCTCATGGGCCCACCGCCCGCGGCAAGGACACGTGCTTGATTCGGTTCCAACTGTACAACGGCACGCGCCTGGAGCGTCTCTTCTTCGCCGCGGATACCTTTCAGGTAGATGAATACGATCTTATTGGAGCGAGGCTCAACGTACACTTTGCAGGTCGTCCGGGACTTTGTCGATGTGAGTCTCTTTGAGAAGGAGTTGTCGATTGCCCGCTACGAGCTCGCGACCAACTTTCCGCGAAAAGCGTGGGGACCCGACGACGTATCGAGCACGCTCCTCGACGCGGTAGGAAGAGCGTTAGTGATGTTCCTATTCACGTGTCACGTAGGGACTCGCGCCCCAGGCGTTGCTGTACGTCCAAGACTTGGACTCGTAGAGGATATTCCGCCCTGTGTTGTTGTCAATACGACGTTGCTTTGTATCAATTTGGCGTATAAACCCAAGGCACCCAACACACCGTGTCGCTGCGCGTGATTCTTCTTCCTCCAGTGGCCGCCATTTCCCTGGATTCCCATTGTGGAGCTGCAGGTGCCAGCGCCACGTAGTCCATTGGTCTTGACACTGGTCGGTGCTTCGATCCTTGTGCTTGCAGGCATGCTAGTCTATCGTTGGACACAAAAGCATGGCGTGGGAACTGTCGTCCGACGTTGATGGTGTAGCAACCCGAACCCCAACCCTGCAGTTCACCTCGAGTCCTATTCAACGACTCAGATCTAGCGACCTCTTGTCTGCTCTGCCACGGACTCGGTTCCGAGTGATAACAGCATGGCTGCACCTTTGAAGCGTTGATCTTCTGCAGTGTACCAGTCGTCTCGTCCGTCAAATCGCGTCGGCAGCATGGCGCAAAGATGCGCCCGTGAAACGTTGCGTGGGATTATCCTTTCCGAGCAACCTCTTGCCGGTGATAGGCCAGGCACCAATTTGGCCTTGTTTTTGTCTCGGGCGTCTTTATAAAAATAGCTTGGTGTTTGTATCTGTTGATATAAAAAGTCAAGCGTGGCCACGCCAAGTTGGGTGAAAAAAGCCGCCATCGAAACGATCTTTATTCGCCCACTTTGCAATCCCATGTCGCTCTGCTGCGCCGTGCGCTCGGACGACGCGCTCCTCGTCTTCTGCAACTACGTGCTCAACCAACCGGCGCTGCTGGCCGGCGACCTCCGGCCAGCCAAGCGCGCACGCACGCACAGCACGGACGAGAGCGACGCGAAGCGGCGGCGGCGGCGGCGCGTGACCTTCTCGACGACGACAACCTTCGAGTTCCCCGCCGACGTCAACGGCAGCGCGGTGCCGCTAGAGCGAGGCCCGCCCATCGGCCTCGGGCGCAAGCACGTCAACGTCACCACCGCCGCCTGCCCGGCCACTGACGGTGCCAAAAACGTGCGCAAGCTCCTGCCCCACGAACGCATTTTGCTGCTGCAAGCGCTCAAGTACACGCACGACGACATTGCTTTCTTTGCTCGCGACGCCAATGCAACCCGCGACGCCCGCCGTGCCACGCGCGACGAGCTCCTGCGCGAGCGACAGCTGCCTGCCGTGGTCTAGCCCGTGAGCTGCAAGGCGTCGTCTCTGTCCCAATAGCTTATATACTCTCGTATTGCAGAGAACGCGCGTGTTTAGATATAGAGTTAGAGGCGGCAGCGCTTGCCCGACGACGCACGGAAGAGACGATCGTGCAGCGCCGGCGCGTGCTCTTGCTGCACGGCCGAGACATCGGGAATCACAATGCGCTACATGGTTTTTGAGGGTGAAGGAGCTCAAGTCGGTGCGTACCGTCGCGCCCGACACCTGCTCTGCCCACCGCAGCGAGTCAAAGACCACGTGGGCCGCTGCGAGAATGTTGCCCCTACGCGTGTTCTTAGCATGTCACGAGTGGCAGAGCGGTCGTACGACGCCGACAAGTCCAAGTAGCCAGCGACGTGCGGTTGCAAAGCGGTGAGGCGGCCGTGAAAGTCCAAGACAACCCACGTCTTCATCTCCGGCGTCACCGACGGTGGCGAAGACGACGGCTCGAGCATGAACGTCTCGACATCCGGCGCGTAGTGCGTCAGAAGCTGCCCGGGCGCGACCTGGTTTTGCGTCGAGTGATCGTCGACGACGCGCTGCGCATGAACGACCTCGATGCCAAGACCGAAGGTTTCATTGAGAACGTGGTGCAGCGCGGCCTCGGAGACGCCGCCTCGGCGGAAGACGAGGAGCTTCTTCTCTTCCGGCACGAGCTTGGCGACGGTCGACTCGATACCGACCTCGCAGCACGACGCGCCCGTGTTATCAATGACGTGGAGACCGCCCGGGTACGCGCCGAGGTCGTTGATCACGTGCTGGGCCGTCGTTGGGCTCACGTGGCCAAACCGGTTGGCACTGGGCGCGGCCACCGGCACCTACGATACGAGTGTGGTGGCATGTCACTAGAGGGGTTGTACCTGGGCCGCTTCGAGCAGTGCCTTGGCGATCGGGTGGTTCGGGATGCGAATGCCCACAAAACCCGTGTTGGCCGACACTAGTTGGATTCAGTCGAGGGCTCGAAGCCGAGCAGCGTACCTTCGCGCGGGAGCGCGGGAATCGCCGGCGCAATGAGCGTGAGCGGGCCCGGCCAGAAGGCGGTCGCGAGCGTCTTGAAGAGATGCACGCCGGATTCGTTGAGCTCGACAAGCTCAAGCGCCTTCTGAACCGATGGCACATGCACGATGAGCGGGTCCGTGAGCGGGCGGCCCTTGGCCTCGAAGATCGACAAGAGCGCTTTCGCGTCAAACGCGTTGGCGCCAAGTCCGTAGACCGTTTCAGTGGGAAAGGCGACGAGGCGGCCGGCCCGGAGCTCTTGGCCGGCCCGCGCGAGGCCTTCGGAGGTCGGCGAGAGGAGCATGCTGCGATGGAGGAGGCGCTGAATGATGCGACGACGTATCGGAGAACCAGCCACCAATTTGCAGGAAATTTTGCATGGGAGAGGTCAACCGCGCACGCGATTGGCAGAAATCCCGTGGCGCGACCCAATCACACGGTTGGAATGGTCGGTGAGCGACTTCGAGGACGATCTTGGGCATGACACGCATGACGACACCGCTCAGTACGAGTAGTAGACAGAGCCGTCACTATCACTACGTACGTCGTTGGAGTCGGTGGCTGGACGAGCCCTCGCAGGCAAAAACCACTTGTGCTTCGCTCCTTCGCTGAACAAGCGGCAATTTTGACGAGCGTGACCAAGTCGCAGTGGCCAGACCATTTAAGCAGGCGACGGCTTGTGGGAGTTACTGTGGACTGTGGCTCAACCCCATGACCTTGATTAGCTCGCTTACTAAGCTTGGCTTGGTTGCATTGCTTATACAGTCCGAGCACGGGGTGGGATCGCGCTTCGCTCCTTGCGCGTGCGTCGATTTGCAGGAAGGCGAATGAGAAGAAAGGAACATGCGATGACCGAGCAAGCATCACGGTCGGGCGGAAGACTTGGTGGGTAGATAGACTTGGCAATGTTGTTCGTGCGCCAGAGAATGGTAGAGGTGGACATGGCGTAGGCCGATAAAGAATCCTTCCTGGGCGGCGCAGCTGATACTTCTGGGTCGGACGCCAGAGCCGGTAGATCATGGACGACGACCGTCGTCGCGTTTGCTCGTGATCGCAATTGCTCCGAGAGGACCACGACGCAGATGCTCCGTGCATCACAGTCCGTATCTCGACCAAGCTACTCCTTGAACGCTGTATGGAGATGGGCGCGATGCTTCAAGCCTCGTTCGCCTTCAACGAAGGAAGAGAATGCAACGTCGTACAGCATCATACATCTCCTAGAGACGACTGGTTCATCTTCATCTACTATCTGGATCTACTTCTTGGTCGGGCGCGGGACAGGGGGCACGTAGGACGAGTCCTTCTGCCAGTCGTGCTCTACCTTTTCGTTCTTGTCCTGTGCGCTGTCGTCGTCCTCGAAGTCAAAGTCATCGTCTACGCAGATACACGAGCATGAGAGACCATTTTGCACCAGAGCGATTGGGTACCATCCCAGTACTCGACGTTGTCGCTCTTGGCGGGCTTGGTCGCGTTCTCGAGCGCATGGATGATCTCCTCCGTCTTGAGAATATCGCTCTTGCCAGCCTTCTCGACCAACCAGTCGGCCATCTCTTGCTGCTGGGCGGTCAACGGCTCGTCTTCGTCATCGACCTCGGCATCATCATCGTCATCATCAGCGTCCTCGCTGACGTAGTTGGCAATGTTCATGTTGGCCATCGGGTCGTTGCGCTCGTCGGCAATGTAGTCCGTGCGCACCACCTTGACGTTGTCGTTGAGCGACGCCTGGAACTGCTCCCAGCTGAAGTTGCTGGCGCTAGCTTCGTCGGCGATGGCCGGCTCGGCCGTCGCCTGCTTGAGCACGTTGCGCAGCGGGTCCTTATCGACCTTGAACGTCATGAAGCGCAGCACCGGGTACGAGAGCTTCATTTTAGCCTCGAGCTCCTTGAGCGTCGTCGGGTTCGTCTCGAAGGTCTTGACGACAAGCTTGGCCTCGCGGTGGCGCTCAAAGGTGCCACCCCAGCGACGGTCGTCAATGGGGTAACCAAGCACGCGGTGGCCGCGGTTGGCGAGGTCGCGGACGACGCCGCCACGGCCAAGAAGGAAGCCCGAGAGCTCCTGGAACATCTTGGCCGTCTCCGCCGGCGAGCTCTTGAGGTTGGTCAAGATCACTTGCTTGTAGAGCACCATCGCCGCGTCGACTGCGCCACTGAAAATGGAAATGCTTGCGTCAAGACCACCACCAACCAAATACGCAATGCTCGCTATATAGTGTTGATACACTACCACCGTTGTACACATTTTCATATATAGTGTACTATCGGAGGCCTCATCGACCTCGCAAGCACAGCACTCGCGACGCTGATACGTCGAGATACCAGTTCGCAGCTCATTGATCGCTGTTGCACCGAAGCTTTGACTTCTCTCCGTAGACTTGGCAGCGTGCACGGACCGGTAGCGTGTCTCTAGCAACGGCGCGTTGCGCCGACGCTAGCGCCACTTGCAAGGCACTAGTACACTGTTGGGTCATTCACGTAGCCTTCGAGTGTTGTCCTATACGATCATATAGAGCTTTGCAGTGCTAGTATGTCATGGACGCAACGCGATAAGTCTTGCTTGAGCCAAGAATCCGCAGCTCCCGCGGACGTCGACGGTGGGGTTCGACCCACCGCACGGCAAATAGTGTACATTGTCGACGATGGCAATTTCGAGCACAGCATTATATTTAACGACTCGCTTTCTATTGCTCGCTGCTCGCTCGCATCAAAGATCCCGCCGGAGCCAATAAGAACGCGCCACACAAAAACGACGTCGAAAGGGCGTGATGGATGGGATCGTGGCGAAGGCGTTGTACGCAGGTGCGGTAGAGTAGATAGAATGTACGCATCCTGTCATGTGCCATTGCAAGTATTGGTCGCTGGCATGTTACTGCGCCCTAGCGACGACGCTTGCGTGTCCGCGCATCGCGGCTCGACCGGCTGGGTGCTCACGGATCGGCAGCAGCACTGTAGGTCCGTAAACGATCACTTTGCTATAACACGGCGTCGCTGCGTCTGTGCAGCCAAACGAGGTGTTGGACGTGTAGTATCAACGTGGCCTCCCTTTCCATAGACCCCGCCTGTCTCGTTCAACATCTTGCCACGAACGAGTCGCACGAGGCTTTCCCTGAGGTTCTCAATGTGCAAAGGCAAGACGAGGTCGCCGAGCGCAATGCAAAGGGCGTCAACCATGCGGTCGGTCACCTATCGGAGTGATGCCGCAGATGGGCGCCCGTTTGCATGTCATCATCTGTGCAGATGGCGCGTTGACGTTTCTTGGAGCCTTCGTACGCGCTTGCTCCTGCTGCCGTCGTCTTCACTGCAGAAGAGGCGCGCAGAGGATAGAGTGTGTTGTCGGTCTCTGAGTTGGGGTGCGACACGAGCGCACCGACGTCCGGTCGAGTGAGACTGGTCGAGTGCAGAGTAGCTAAAGCCTGCGGTCAGTCTACCTCGTACCCATTTCGTCGATTGTAGCCGTGCACGCTTCGTGATGCTAATGTACCTACCGTGTGGATGGCTCGCCGCATCACGGCTGCCCGCCCCTTTTCACGACGCGCAAAGCTACTGCGGCTCGGGCCTATCTCAGGGCAGATCCAGGATCCTGCTGAGTCTTTGTGGGCCTCCTCCAGATGACGACGTGGTCCGTTGTCGTGCCATCTGTCGAGCGGGCTCAACGCCCTGTAAGGACACGAAAATGAAAATTTCCAGTCGGCGGTTGCTACTCCTGTATTCTCATTATACCGAGGAGCGGGCGACAGTCTCGATGGACGCCGCAAGCCGTCCGAAGATATAGCACCGTTGGGGCAAGTAAGTAAGCTCAACGATTGCACCTGCTGCAATGACTCTGGCGTCCCACGCCCAGATCTTGTACTTCAAGAAAGGGCCACCGAGCGTTTTTTATTGCTACACTTGGTGTTTGTATGCAAACACATAAATATGATGCTGGGTGCAAACCGACCCGATTAGGTAACAACAAAAACAGGTTTTTCGGCAGCCAATCAGATGCCGGCATGCGTTCTTCTATCTATGCCAGTTGTTGAGCCGCGCAAAGCGGAAAACCCCCGTTCTGAGGCAGTAAGCACCAAGCTTTGTCGACAGCAGGATGAGCAGCGTCGTCGCGATCGTCGGAGTCCAGGTCTCGGCCAAGCTCGTGGACATGGCCCACGACGCCAAGGAGTCCATCGTGCTCGTGATCCTCTCGGTCTTTGTCTGCTACAGCACCGTCGCGTGGCTGCGCTCCGGTCGCGGGGCCACGGCCACGGACGACGAAACCATCGAGCACGTCGCCGTCGCAGCGGTCGAGCCGACGCCTGCGACGACCACGCCCACGAGCCGGCGAAAGGTTAAGAAGAAGAAGGCCAAGAAGGCCACGTCCCCCATGCCACCTGCAACGACTGCAACACCGACAGCGGTCGAGACTCGCTGCGAGCCTGCGCCGTTCGACGATGCGCCACAAGACGTTGTTGTGGACGCGCCGCGCTCGCAAGACCTCCTCGCGCCGATCGCAGAGGACACCAAGCCGACAGAGACTGTGCTAGAGTTGGTCGCTGCAACCGTCGCGCCCGAGATCCCGGTGCCCGAACCCTCGGCGGTCGACGCCGTTCTTGCGACGCCGCCGCGGCGAATCACCAAGTCGATCTTGACGCCGCTGACGCTGTCACCGCAAATGAAGACCAAGAAGGCGACGACGTCGATGGATTTCTTGTTGAAGGAGCCGATCGTGCCGTCGTCACCGACGTCGTGCGCGTCGACGGTCTCGTCTTCGTCCTTTTCGCCCCCCAAGTCGTGCCCGGGCCGCGTCGAGCCGGTCAAGTGGTCGCCCTCGCCCGTCGCGCGCCCGCCGCCGATGCTAATGAAGCCCAAGAAGCTCGTCCGTTCGCACTCGTCGACGGCCGACGGCCGCGCGTGGCGGGATGTGCTCGGCGGTGACGCAAGCGTGCCGCCGCCGCCAGTCCTCGCCAAGACGGTGAGCCTCGATGCGTCGTCGACGCCGCTTTCGACTGCGCCCGCTCCGTCCAACCCGCTCGTCCTCCAGCACATTGTCGATCAAATGTTCGTGTTCACCTGCCATCCTCGAAACTCATGCTTGTTCCTTCTAGCGCCTACTACTTTAGCGAGCACAACCTCATGCGCGATGTGTTTTTGCGCCAGCGCATGGACGCCGAGGGCTACGTCTACATGAGCGTCGTCTTGAACTTCAACCGCGTCCGTGCCATGATGAACCCGACCGTGCCGCTCTTGGCGCTCGTCGAACGCCTCGATGCGTCGCCCCACGTGACGCTGCTCTGCAAGCGCAAGCTCAACGGCGACGTCGACCCGTCGTTTGTCCAACTGGCCAAAGTCCGCCCGTCGATGTATTGGCAGCAGTGGGTCCCTGCGAATGCGCTCCCGACCCACCACCCGTTCGACCTGCTCTTGCGCAAGGCCAACGCAGCCACGACGTCGGCATGATCGCGGCGCGTGTATATCTATGTCTTTAATATAGCTCGGTAGTCGAGCGCCGGCTTTGGCGCTTATCCCACACATTACCTCGTTGTCTTACGGAGTAGGGACGCACCGACTTCAACAAATATTGAAAAACCAGATGGCATTACTACCGCGGTACCCGAAGACCGTGCAAAGCCGGGCCAGGCCGCTGCGAGCCGCACGATCCGAAACGAGCGGTGCTGCCACGTCTTGCGATGGCGCTGGAAAGTGCACGTCGTTGCCATTCGCGTCCTTGACCTGACACCGGTACGCAAGTCGGAGGTGAGGGTGCAACGATGCCACGGCAGGTACATTGCGCGGTTGCGACAAGCGGCGAGGGCCGAGCGACCCAGCGACCCAGCGATGTAGTCGCATCGTAACTGGGATGCACTTTTACAAGGTTCTCGTCGTCGGTCGTCATCTTCGACTGGGTGTGCGCTCACCCAGCAGTGTGGATACACGTCGTCCAAGCTCGTTGCTGTACACGCAATTTACTCAAGTTTGTTGCGGCTCTAGTTACGATAGCATCCTGCGTCGCTGCACGGGGCGAAGGTTGCTCTTGGGTGCTAGGTTGTCAGTGCCCTCGCAAGACGCTCTGGCGCGCATCGCTTGTGCGACGTGCACAGCACACAAGGCTTGATGCTCGTATGCCAACCGGTGCAATTACATGATCGCGCAGGACGGCTTGGTCGTAAGCGATCGGGGCGTCGGCAACGCTGGCGGCGGCGTCTCGGGCGCCCACAGTACCGGCGGTGGCGTTCTCGCATAGTCCATGGCTGGTACGCGCAAGAGGTCTTCGAGGTCGTCGTCGGTCGCTGGCGCTGACGGCGCGCCGTGTATTGCCAGTGGCGGTAGCTTGAGTGTCTCGGTCGTGTAGGACCATGTCGGGACGTGCGTCGCGTCGAGGCCGGTGGCGAGAAATGAAATGTTGTGGTGCTTGGCCACGCGCGGCTCAAGCTCCTTCTCCAGCTGCGATGACAGCGAGAAGCTTTCGTAGCCGTCGAGAATCACAAGCACGTGCTGCCACTTGCCCCTAAATGCGCGATGTGACACCCGAACCAACGGCGCTTCGTACAGTTCGTGCTCGAGCATCTCAAAGACGTCCAAGACCGACGCGCGGATCGCGTCGTGGGACTGGTACCGCAGCTCGAGCGGGATGTTGATGTACACGATGCCGCCGCCAAACACCTTGCGCTGGCCAATGTACTGGGCAACAGCCAACACAAACTGCGACTTGCCGACACGGCGCGGACCAAGAATACTCACCCACCGCGGCCGCCGTCGCCCCATGAGCATACGACAGACCTACGCCGTGGTCTCAGCGTCATTATACCGTCCTGTATCGGACTTGCCACTTGCGCTTCGTCCAAGCGGCCGTGAAAATGCTACCGTAGAACATGAGCAGCCACCACAGATCTCGAACTACTTTGGTGACGCTGCCAAGCACATGCGTCGAAGGACTCTCGGCCGCATACCGCGCGGCGCTCGACTGTGCCAGCGGCTCGGGCGGCGATGGCGGAAACAAGGTTACGTCATGACACGCGTCCTCAGGGTACAAGACGAACCGGGTCGTCGCCTACGCAGGTCGATGAGATCGTGGCGGGCGACACCATCGAACGTGGCCGAGCAGTGCAATGAAGTGCTGTGCAGCGTCAAACGCGTCTTGGATGGTCCGGCCCGCCGCGAGCGACGCATGGAGGACCCTAGACGGCGATTACTCTATCGCATTTGTAGGTCCGTACGCACTTGGTAAAGGTCATGGTCGTGTCCGAGTCGGCCTTGGACGACGGATGCATGGCAATCACGTGAGGCACGCCACACTGTAGGAAGAAGCGGTGGCCTACGCCGTCTGTCAACAACACTGATGCAAACGCTCGTATGACGTACTGGACGCCGCCTTGTCGTATGAGGTCACTTGCACGAGTTCGACGCTCGAGTGGGCGAGGATACCGCGCATCTCATCCCGCGCGACCCGCGTACCGCCCCCGACGCCATCTTCCAAGAGGACGTACTGGTGGTCGACGTGGCACACAAAGTGCATGACGCGGCAGCCGTCCGCGCACAGTTCTTGGACTGTCATAGGCGTCGCAAACTCCAGCATCACTTGCACGAGCGGTCGGGGCGCGAGGACAACGCTGCCTATCGCGCGATGCTTCTGAGAGACGGCGGCCTTCGACTGCGGCGTGTACCGTCGCTCTCGACGTGGCATTTCGACACCTACAGTCGATGGCACGCGTGCAACTAGGAAGATGGTACAGTACATTGGCGCTGCTCTGGAGGTTCTTGGCGAGCTCGGTAAGCATCGCCCGGTATTCCAGTCCCTACACGCACGCTTCGACATCGAGTGTGAGTGTGTGCTGCGTACTGCTAACGTCATGCTGAACGACGGGTACATGGCGATCGGATGGGCAAACAGTACTGCCTACGGTAGATGTATCGACCAAGGGACGGTATGCATACGGCTTGTGATACAATGTGGTTGTGGGCCACGCCTTGCGCCGACGACTCGAGAAGGCCTTCGTGCAGCGTGTAGCCGAGCACGACGCGCTGGGCGTATGGTGTCGTGAGGATTTTGATGGTTTCTTCGTGGAGGAGGACCGACTGGCCTTGCGGGGCTACGACAACATTGGATGACGATAGTGGTGATGCAAGAGGAAGCAGTACCCAGTCGTGTCTTGTCGATGAATACGTTGTTCTTGCTGCCGTTGGTGACGCTGATCTCGGCCGCGTAGTGCTGTCGCGTCCACTCCACGGTCACCGAGCCCTTCCGGCTCAGGTACTGCTTGTACGGGCCGTAGATCTCGGCCATGGCACCGCGCGTGAGCCATTCGCGCGTGAACGCGATCGTCGGACTCGTAGCGGTGAGCGGGATGAAGAGGAGGCCCGCAGCTTGCATGGCTTGGCGCTGGGCGCGGCTCAGACGGTGCAGCGTACCTTCGTGCAGCTCCAAGTAGAAGCTGCGGCTCTGGATGCGAGCCTCGGTGCGTGGCGAGAGCGTGAGTCGGTCGGGGCTCTGCGACGCGCCAACTGTCTCTGCAATTGAGAGCTCAATGGGCGTGAACGACCGGACGCTAATGGCCATGCGCGGAAGAATGCTGCCATCGTCGCGGCCGGCGAGGATCTTGGCCACCTCGTTGTCGTTCTCCTCGTCGTCGTCGGCCATGGCGTCGTCCACCGAGAGATTCTCCATGTCCATGTCGAAGCCCGCGTACTCGAAGGTCCCATCGACGCTTCCGCGCCGGACGCGCTTGACGTCGCCCAAGTACGGCGACTGCGACCGCTTCATCTTGCGTTCAGACAGCGACGATGCAACTTGCGATCCTCGATGCGATTTCCGGATAACGGATTTCCACCAATCCCAAGCCGACAACCTGGTCCTTTCAACCAATGGCCTTTTTCCTCTTTTTATCCAATTGAAAGCAACATTGAGTTTTAGCCAATCCAAGCGCGCGATTCATCCAGCCAATCCACGCGACGCAATTTAACTTTAGCACCAATCAAGCGGCCTTGCCGTCATTGCTATCACCCAATCACATCGTCAACCCCCCGATCTTGGTCAGCCATGATGGCTTCAGTACGGGCGGGTGGGTCATTGACGAAGATGACAACGACGGTGTACGACGTCGTCTACGCCAATGCCCCATGTGCTGCGGGCTCGCTCGTCTCCCTCCAAGCCTTGCTCACTGGCAATGCGACGGCGCCCAACAATCTCCTCCACGCTTGCAACGGGACGGGCAAGGCGACGCTAGCGAGCGCGCCGAGCTTCCTCGACTATTTCCCCAACAAGCAGTACATGACGTTGCAGTCCGACCCCACCTTGGAGAGCACACTGCTCGATAATACGTGTATTCGCAGTGTCAACAACGGCTCCGTAGTCGCCAGCTGCGCGAACGCGACAATAACGACCTTCAACACGGCAGCCTGCACCGACGTCAGTAGCACAACGCCGAGCAGCACGACCTGCAGAGTGCATCATGGTCGGGCGCATCTCTTGACATTTGCTTCCGCCAACTGTTCGGGGCCGCTACTTCGAGCCGTCTACAACGTTTCGATTGGCAACGCGTGGCCGACAACGTGCCAAGGCCGCGACCTCGCCGTTCTGGACGACGCAGTGCTCGCAAGCTACTTTCTACCGGGCGCATTGTACGCCGAGGACATGCTTGGAAGAAGCGTCGTCTTGGACCAGACGTGCGCGCCTGCACCCAGTGCGAACGACACTCGAGTCGCACCCAGCGTGAATGGCTCGACATGGCTCGTGGCCGACTGCACCGCCAACACAACAGCACTGTTTTCAGACGCCAACTGCTCAACGCCAGTGGTCGAGGTGCTGCCGCCACCTCGCGCCTGCAGCGTCCGCAAGGCCGCGCCACACCGCACTGCGTGGGTCAAGACGTACGCCGAAGTCAATTGCACGGGCGCGCTGCATGCCGCCGTTCGCAAGACAACTCTGGCACCATCCACGGCCTTTAGCTGTGTCGGCACCATCGCGATCTCTCGCTCGCCACCCAACGCGTCCGAGTTTGCGGCCAACGCGCAATACGTGGCGCTTCCAGCAAACGGTTTGGCGGAGGCGTTCTATCTCGTCAACGACTGCGGTGGTGTTGACACTGGCTACACCTTTGCGGCCTGCAACGGCTCGATTGGCACGGTCGCGCACTTTTCAGAGCACACGTGCACGCACGCAACGTCCTCATTCACTGGCACTTGCAGCGTGTTGAACTTCGTGGCAACACTGGCGCCGACCCCGCCGCCACGCACAACGACCGTACGCCCGACAACAAAGCCACCGCCGTCGACAAAGCCAGCCGTAACGACCGCAGCGACCAGCGTAGCCAACAACAAGAGCGCACCCAATGGCGCAAGCAGCGGCATCACGGGCTTTGCTGCGATCATCGCGCTCCTCGTGGCTGTGGCACTGGGCGCCGCGTACTTCTTCTGGAAGCGGTGCCGCACGCGATCTGCGTACTTTTCCATCAACCAGCTCTCCGAGCAGTAGGAATATACATCAATGTCGTCTCACTACTGAGCTAAGTTGCCAAAGAAATCGCTTCTTATTGGCGACGATGCCTCGAGGTCCGAGGAGTACCGCCTGCGTGGTCTCGACAGCAACCACGCGTTGAACGCCACAGTAGACGCGAGCTTGCTGAGCGGATTGGGCGGTGGCAACTCTATCGACGGTTGAAACAAGGGCGGCCCTGTCCCACGCCAACGGGCTTCTCCAGTTCGACGATCCACCTGAAAGAAATGCTTGTCCCAGCCTCCTGTTGTCCTATTTTGAGCGAGTGATGGATGTGCTTGGGGTTTCAAGACCGAGCAAACACAGAGCGAGCTTGACAACGGAATTTGCTTGGGATGCGAGTGTTGCCAAGTCTCCTCCTCGTGTCGGCCTCGCAAGCCCACGACGTCTGTTTGCGCTGGAATGCGTCGACCATGCTTGCATGCAATGTGTCGACGCCATGCGCCTTTCTGACGCGCAACACGTCGTCGTGCTTTTTGTCGGTGGACCTCAACGAGACGGTTGCTGCTAACAGTAGCTGGCTCGGTGACCGCCCGTTTCTCGCTCAACTTTTCCCACAGTACGACAGCGAAGACGATGACGATGACGACGAAGATGAAGATGGCGACTTCGACGATCGGCCGTGGCGTTCACCGCCTGTCAACAGGAACGAAACGCTACCGTGGACGCTATGGCTCTCGTGGGGTGGCAATGTCAGTGCGTACTTTGACTTGGAGCATCTCTTCAACTGGACGGTCAACAGTTCGTCGTCGACGGACAACACGATTGTGTTTCCGCCACACGGGCACGCGACCAAGAAGCCTTACGTGTTGCGACGCTGGAACGCTTCTACGAACGCCAGCGCGACACCGTACCCGACGATCGTAGTGCCGCGCAATGACTCGGCATATGGCCGACGCACCACTCCGCCGCGGCTGGCGCTCAACGGGACGGTGTTCAACGAGGCGTACTTGGTCAGCTTTCTCCAGTACCTCTTCAACGCGACGAGGCACCGCAACGACCTAATGGCGTTCCTCTTGCATCGGGTCATTAACCTGCTGCAAACGAATGGCTCGGTCGCAGCCGAGGCCATTCAGCGCTTCCGAGTGCATCCGCCCTCGAACGACATGCGTCTATGGAGTCTATTGTTCACAGCCAACTCGACCCAACATCGCAACGTCACTGGACATCCTGTCGATGCCATGCGTCCGCTGGGCGAAATTGTGTGGCAAGTGTACCTCGAGTCGCTGGGTGGCTGGAACCAGAGCATACCTCGTCTTCCACGACCTATGAACTGCACCTTGCAGCGTGGGAATGAAACCACGCCCAACGAGACGGCAGTGACCATCGCGTGGCCACCCGCCAGCAATCGATCCTCGGACCGACCGACGATGCTGCCCTTCCGTCCGTTGCGACCCACGCCTCGGCCGTCGCGCAATGACAGCGGTAGTGGCAGTGACGCGAACGCGTCAATGACAACGCCAACCATCACGGACAATGGCAATGGCAGTAACACGAACGGGTCAGCGACGACGCCAACCATCACAGTGTCACCTTCGGACGCACTGGCTGCGACGAGCCCGACAGTTACCACGTCGTCGTCGCACGTCGATGTGATCGTGCTGTTGTGCGTCGCTGTCGTTGCAGTCGGCTTTCTCGCAGCCCGCGTCTACGCGCGTCGGCACAACATCGAAGCGTACAGTCACCTCCAAGATTAGCACTTTCTAGTTAATAACGACTAAGTCTTTTCTAGCTTCTCATGGTTTCAATTTAGAAGATCATGGAGCGGCGCGTCGTCGTGTTGGCGCTGGGGGTTGCAGCGGTCGTCGCGGCCACCACGCTGCGTGGGGCGCGTCTCTTGCCCACCCCCGACGTCGTCCCGCTGGACCCGATCGGTACCTTCTTGGAAGAGAACCTCCCCGAGTTGGCCGACGCTTTGGTATCGTCATCGTCACTGGTTGTGGCAGATACTGTGGGGCTTGCGGCCAGTCTTGGTGAAGCCACGAGCGCTGCTTCCTCCACCGACGGCGATGTGAACGACCTCATGAAGACTCTGCAAGGGACCACCATGGACGGTATCGACGACGAGAACAACAACGATGCGTATGAGATCATTCAGAAGACGCTGCTCTGCGACCGCCGGCTGGGCAACTGCACCCAGTTCATCCTCATGTACACGACCAATGGCACCGAAGACGACGGCGCGACGGTGGTGCCGTAGCCGCCTGGCAAGAGAAGAAGGACGGATGACGATGTAAGCTCAATATTGATGTGAAATAAAGGGTGATCTCTGCTGTGCATGTACTGCTGTACAGCGGCGTCGAACCTCGGAGGTGAGACGGCGTTAGATGGCCGTCCCGCGCTCGAGGTTTTGCTTGATTTCGACAGTGTACTTGTCGAAGGCGCGCGAGATCTTCTTGTTGAAGACGCGGTTGCGCTCGTTGATAAAGTCGACGTCCTCGCCTTCGCGGTGCTGGCGCCGGCGGCTAAACTTTTGGCGGGCGGCCGCGCGGTCGGCGAGCTCGGCAACCATGCGGTCGACGCCTTCTTCCGAGACCTTGTCTTGCCGACCATAGTTGAGCGGATCGTAGGGTTCGATGGCGTCGCTGGTGCTGCCAGCTTTCGGCGCTGATGCGGCGCCATCGGCCGGCGGCAGCGTATTCAGCCGCTTCTTGTACGCATTGTAGAGCGAATCCTGGTTGAAGACGTCCCAGCCAAAAGCCGCCTTCTGCTTCTCTTTCTTCGACGCCTTCTTCGACTTGCCCTCGGCGTCCACGACCGTGTCGTTCAGGTACGCCTTGGCCTTGTCCGCAGGCTCGCGCTTCGCGGGTGCGTCCTCGGCCGCCATCATCTTCTTGGCCTTACCTGGCGGTAGCTGCGACCGCTTGTGTTCCTCTTCGACCTGCGACTTGGTCTGCTTGCGACCAGCGTTGATCTTCATGCGGATCTCAAACAGCTTGCGCTGCGCCGGCGTCATCTCGGGCGACGTGACGTCGCGCTCCTCGTCCGATGCCATCGCTCCGTTTCCGGCCTTGGCAAATGGAATGTCCGGATACAAAAGGTGTATCCGGCCCCAGTTTCCCACGCCAGTGTGTGTTTTACGTTTATAAGATTTAAAGTAGGAAACACACACAGTATACATTGTGTAAAATGTGCGCATATCATTGCATGAAATAAAACAAAAGGACTCTTAACGGTAGTTTAAAAGACAAGAGTAGATATAAGAACGTTTTCCGGACGCATTTTCACAACGTGGAATATCCAACGACCAAACGACTCTATTTCAACAAGCATGGCACCAGCGCTGGCGCCCGTCCTGCAGAGCGCGTGGAAGCTTGCACTCGTCTTCGCCGCCTGCGTTGGCGTCACGTACATGATGTTCACGCGCCTCCTTGCGAAAGAACCACAGCTGGCCTCGGCGCTCAACTGGAGCCTCAGCTTTGAGGACATGCAGCGGAGCGACGTCAACGACGCGCTGCGCCGAGCCATGGCCGACGAGTTCTACCTCTCGCTCGCATGCTTTTCGTGCGTCTACTTTATCAAGCAAACATTCGCGATCCCGGGCTCGGTCGTCTTGAACCTCCTCGCCGGCGTCTTGCTGCCGCTCCACGTGGCCTTCCCCGTCGTGTGCGTTTTGACCATGGTACCTCCTTCCATCGGTAGATCTGCACTGGCAATGAGCTCATTGTGCTCGTAGTGTGGCGCAAGCTGCTGCTACTTGCTGTCGTCGACGCTCGGGTCGCGCGAGCGCCTCGTCGCCGTCACCGACTACCTCTTGCCTGGGAAGCTGGATACGCTCCAGGCCAAGATCACGCAGGCGCAGGACGAGAACCGCCTCTTCTTCGTGCTGCTCTTCCTGCGCATCTTTCCCTTCTCGCCGAATTGGCTCCTCAACATTGCCAGTCCGTACTTGTGCATTCCGATGCACCTCTTCGCGCCAGCAGCCTTCCTTGGGCTCATGCCCTACAACTTTGTCACGGTCAAGGCCGGCTCGATGCTCGCGCAGCTCACGAGCGTGCGCGATATTTTCGATACGCAGACGCTCCTCGGGTTCCTCGCGCTGGCGTCGGCCATGCTGGTTCCCGCGATTGTCAAGAAGCGCGCCGCCGCCAAGAAACACGACTAAGACGCTACGATCAGTGCAATAAGAATGAAATGGTGCGCAGTCCAAATGCGGGCGCAAAGACAATCCAATGCTCAGTCTCGAAACAGGAAAATGGTGTTTGGGAATCGAATGGACGTGTACATGGCAAAGACATCTCATACTAGACGCTAACCCATGCCTCTGGGCTACCGTTAGTATGAGACGATGAAGACAGGATTGTCTCGTTGTCTCTGTGCATTTTGCATAAAGCTTGCTCAAAGGTGCAAAAAGACAGGCACCGCGGGGTGGAGAGTACTTGACGTCTCCGTCGAAAGAAGCATTTTCTAGGGTTGGGTTGCAGCAAAGTGCCTTGCTTGGATATCAAGTTGCCGTTAGTGATTGCTGAATTAGTCTCCACTTCGATCCTCGATGCGCGCCTTTTTTCGGAATGCATCAATGGCCAATACATATATGGCTACTGAGACCACGGAAAGAGAAGCGCCAAACAATTGTCAAATTGCTCTGCTTTATGCAAGATAATGATCATCCTTGAGTTCAACGAGGGAGTTTACTCGTTTGGCTGTCCCTACTATTTTAACGTAATTCCCAGGAATTCTCGACTGTGAAAGCTTCGGAAAATAACAGAGAAAGACGGATAGAATTATAATGAGTGCAGAAAATTGTTTCATGTTCAACTTGCACAAGATAATGAAATGGTGCGATTATAATCGTGGCTTCGGTAGCGATA